GAAACTGCACAAATGTAATACTGGGGAGTAAAATTCATAACTTGTTTTCCCTTTCCATCCTATTTACAAATAAATTATTCTGTAGAAAGAAAATGAAATACTTAGGCAGTAAAGAGCTATTGCTTCTATGTATGCTTATTAGAAGAATACTGGTTGATATTATTTTCCTCTAAGCACCCCCTCATAACAACTGGATGATTTTTCCTTTGAATTTTCTTTTATTTGGTAGTTTGTTATGCATCTGCAAAGATAAACATCCCCTTTGACATGCCAGTCTCCTGAGTTACCAGCTGAGAAACCACATAAGAAAAAACTGGCAATTTCTGAGTTAAACTTAAAAAAAAACCCAAACCCAACAACAACAAAAAATCCCACTGAAAATTAAATATCCCCACATGGCTTTATCTGTTTTCAAATTTTATAGCAACTAAGGTTAAGTTCAGGACAAACGAACCAGCATTTTCCAGCAGTCAAAATCTGTAGAGATTTCAGACCAGATTGCCTCCATTTGGGATCTAAGGAGAGATATCTGTTTTCATTAAAAATTTTATTTTAACAAATCTTATCAGTTTTACCCAAAAAGCTCAGAATATTTTACAGCCACTGACTATAACCTTAATGAAACTCCTTGGGTAAGAGAAATACATGCCTAGAGGAGTACAATCTGTAAACATCCACAGATTATTCTCAAAAATAAATAACAGATCACCCATGTACCCTATGGCCACATGCCAGTAGTAATTTCCCAAAAGCTATATTAAAGTTTTGAGTTAAAAAATGGAGGGAAATCAGTGTTGTCATTACAATTTTCCTGATGTGTGGGAGTTAGAAGGGAGCTCCTGGTGAAATGCAAACAGCTGGCAGTGGGGGCTGTGAGGGTTTAATTCTGAGGTCTGCTATTTCTATGGGACTGACTTATATTTTTAATTTTTTAAAGAAGTAATATTTTATGCATAAGGGACTGAGGAAAAAATAAGTGGTTTCTCCAAGGATCTGGCCTAAATGGGATAAAAATTCATTTTCTGAACTTCATCTCCTGATATAGTCACAAGATTATCATTTCTTGTAATTAGAAATGTGATGATTGTGTGAGGTTTTGTTTGTTTGGGGTTTTTAATTTTTTACAGTTTGATCCTTTCAAATAGAGCAAGATATTTTTTTTTCCCAAGGAAGATTCAGATCTCAATCTTCTAATTTTCCTCCCATTCTGCTAAAACCTAAAATTCATGGAAAAAAAAAAAAAGTTTTGTTTACCAAAACCAAACCAAAATGAAATTAAAAATTCAAAAAGGTTATTTCTTTTTCGGGGAAGCTTAATCTCAAAGAGAATAATGTTATTTTAAACTGCCCTGAAGTATTTTTTCTGATGTGCTTCAGTAACACATCTGAATTAACATTTATCAAGGCCAATCCATTTGTTATGCTAAGGAAGTGGCATCTCATTTATATGTGAGAGAATTGTCCAAACATAAAGTAAACAGGGAATGGTTATTTAATATTTTGTGCTATACAAGAACCAAGAGGTGCCACATCCAATTCCCCAACAGGGGAGTTCAAAAGAAGCAGAAAGTTCAGAACTTACCACAAGTGCAGTTCGTTCCAAAATGAATGTAAGTTACAGAGGCCAAGAGTATAAATCAAAAAGGCATGGACACAAATTCACAGAAGGTAACCATGACTGTTGGAAATAATTGAGTACAACCTCTGACTCAGGAAGTTCTTAAATTTTGATTGTTGATATCTTGCAGGCTATAAGAAAGGTTAAAAATGCAGTTTTCAATGCAGTTTACTGTACTATGTGTCCATAGATGGCTGCTGTAATAACTGGGGGACTCCTTTGAAGGATAAAGACATTGAATCATAGAATCATGGAATGATTTGGGTTGGAAAGGACCTTAAAGATCATCTCGTTCCAACTCCCCTGCCATGGGCAGGGACATCTTCCACTAGAACAGGTTGCTCAGAGCCCCATCCAACCTGACCTTGAACACTTCCATGGATGGAGTGTCCACAATTTCTCAGGACAAACTGTTACAGTGCCTCACCATCCATGATCTCATGGATAAGGTCATCAAAAGGCCAGCTCAAAAAAAAACCACATAAAACATTTTACCGATAATATTAATAGTCCTGCACGCATGTTAATCCTCTTGGACATGCACCCATTACCTCTTTTGACCTTTTTTATCTGAAATCCAATTAAAAGCTAAGGTTAACATACTGGATAAGGATCTAAATGTTGATATTAAATCAATGCTATTAAATAGTCTGAATGGACATGTAAGTAAACAAGGTTCATGATTCATACAGATAAACATGTTTGCAGAAATAATTAGAAGAAATAAATACAAAAAAAAGATGTAACAAATTGACCTGGTATTGCCAATAAAAATTATCTTCAAGCATAATGTACTTCAGAAAGCATTAGGGGGACCTCGGCAGTTTGTAAGCCTTCCGCTTAAACTTCCGTCAGCATACTGAGGACATTTTGGCACGTTTCCCAAAAAAGGGTTTTGTTTTACAGTGCTATGTGAAATCAATTTCCATAAAACCAACAGATTAAAATCCCTTCTCTGCTGTAAAAGCAAAAGATAAATAAATAAAAAAGGCATTAAAAAGTGCTTTTCTTTAAACCTTTGAAAGCTTTGTTAATATTCAAATGAGGAGTTTTTCATGTGCAGGCAACATTTGTTTAAGCTTCTCTCTCTGATACCACAGCAATCATTTTTTATTTCTGCTTCTTGAGCCTTGCCAGCAGACCAGGGCAGATAACATCACTCAATAACAGCTGAAATTATTCAGAGCGCTGTTTATTTCCTGGTTGTTTGAAATAGTTTTATTTATTTATTTATTTGTTATTTTTATCTTAAATGTTGTGTGTAGGAAACACATGGGAAGACTTCATGCTTCTTAGAAGCAACCAGCTGGAAATTCCTTCGATCACATAAATAAAACATACATAAGCAAGAACAGATATTTGCTAAGTTTTTCTACCCCATCATCCCTCTTACGGGATGGTCTTTTTGCCAGTATTTATATATAACAAGCAGCACTTTTGAGCTACAGGCAAGACAGGGATTTGCATTTAACCTTCTGAAAGTTGTCCAATTCCTAACTTTCCTTGAGATTCTTTTTCTGGCGTTGCACACCTTGCTCTGTTTCACACCAGAACCTCACATGTTGTTTGAGTATAACAAGTATTGCTGAACCTTTCTTTTGTCTTTAGCATAAGTATCATTCCAGAATTCAAGAAATATTTGCACAACACTCTCAGGCACATGGTGTGATTTTTGGGTGTCCAGGAGTTGGATTTCAGTGATCCTTGTGGGTCGCTTACAGCTCAGAAAATTCTATGATTCTTTTTTTTATATGTATGCTTCTGTACAGCAGTCAGTGCTCTAATCTGTCCTTAAAAACTGAATCAGGTGTAGATATCAATGAATTAGGCTGATCTGAGCTGAAGTGGCCATGTGATGCACATCTACACAGAGGAACAACCTCAGACTGGAAAGTGTTCCCAGCATGAATGAAACTGCCCTGTGGCTTTTAGTTCTGGCACGTTATGGTTTTAAGATGTTTCTTGTGCTCTCCATCCTGGAAGTTTTTATTCTTTCAAGGAGACCAGGTCTCCTGGGTATGACGCAATTTGGGATGCCTGGATGGGCATCAGGTACCTGTGGATGGTGATCCCAGTTTGGGAGCTGTAACACAAACTCAAGTGGCATTATCCCTGCACTTTGTATGAAGAGCAAATGTGTTTTCCTTCTTTCTCTGCACTTCATTATTTTAGTTCCACCTTTGTTTACATGTTTTTAAAGAACACTTCTGGTTGCTTGCATCACTATTTGGACTCAGTAATTTGACTCCTTGTATTCACCCCAAGTAGCCTGATTTCCCTCTTGAAATCTTGATACAGTTTATGTACAGCACATGTTCTCCGAGGGACAAACTGTGGGGTTATCTCATTTAAATCCCGTTGCTGATGAGGCCTCTCTTTATAGTCCACAATAAGAAATAAGTACTTTGAGGGTACAAGTCCCCTGATCTATTTGATATCACTGCTTCAGAAAGAGATGACTCATACCCTGGAAATGCCAATTCCTCTCCAGTGAATATAAAGGCAACCTACATCATTAACTGGGGGGTGTACTTTTGCTCAGATTAACCCAGAGCATGAGCCCTGGCTGTGCATCAGGACTCTAGTGGGCTTGAGGCTGAGTAAACTACAGTCAAGATATTCCACTCTCAATGGGTTCAATGGTCTAAGATAGGAGACACACAGCCAGAAGGGAACACTGGCCACAATAGTCAGCACTGAGAGGTAATGTCCACAACACCAAAACAACTTACATTCTTTCAGGATTTTGAGGAAGAACTTGGATAACAGTGAATTCATGTTGCACCAAGGATATGGGAGAACATTTCCCAGATGAATGGACTGCATCCAGCAAAAACAAATGTAGCTTTTGGGCTGTAGTCCTGTCATTTGGTGCTGGAAGCTAATGTCATGGGACAGTGAGAAGTGGGAACTAAACTTCCAATCTATAATAATAAGTTTGGGATGAACTATAGAAGATATTTATAGATGAGAGGTCATGCACAACTCAAAGAGAGAAAGTTGTTGCATCCATCAAGGTGCAAGCTGATGAGAAGTTGGATAAGAGTATTTATCTGTGTGGATAGGTTGTGTTGGTGAGATGTTGTGCTGGAAAAAGATCTGTATGAGAGCAGAGAAAGGAATGAGTTAGAGATAACACTCAAACCACTCATCTGAATGTCTAGGAAGCAAACCTGAGCTAGTGATGTCCAGCACACTGGACAATGATCATTTTTAAGAGAAACATGAATTTACAGTGTCAATTTGAAATTAATAAAAGCAAAACCCAGCACCACCAAAAGTGCAATATTTTCTAAGGAAGGAAATAATACTGGGACAACAATGACTCTTCTCTAACAATATTCCTTTAATTAGTTTTTCTTCTCAATTTTTCTTCTTATAGTTTCGCTCGTCCAGGGAAAGGTTCTTGGCTTGGTAAAGGCAACCTGGAAGCGGGACCAGACCAGTCCAGTATGTCCTTAGAAAATCTAGTGTTTGGAGCTGGCTACTGCAAACCCACTTCTTCAGAGGTAAGGAGGATGAAAAATGATGTCTTACTTCCATTGGATCACTCCGAGTGTCCCTATTACCTGTGGAGAACTTGTCATGGTTGTGTATTTGTAGTAGAGGGATTTTGTTGGAAGAAGAAACCCTCAAACATTTCTGCATGAACTAGCTGGCACTTGGATATACAGTCCCTTGGTGTTCAGAAAGTTCAAGATGTGTGGATATATACCCCCCATTGCCAATGGCACTTTTAAGACAGGATTCACCTGATCAGGTGCTGCTTGAAGGTGAAATTAATTATTCAGGAAGAGGCCCTGGCTTTCAGGTTTTGTGTATGACAGCCAGAGGACTTGAGTCATTATTAAGGATGTCGTAAAGGAAGGTTTTGTTTCCTGAGTATTGAGTATTGTGTGTGTTGATGATGGGGTGTTGTACACATTGCCTTACCCATGGCAGGTCCCACAGTTAGTGTGTGCCTTTGAGAGAGAGCTCATTGTGCAATTTTTAGTAGAAAGTTGTTTGTTTGAAAAATAATGATTAATTGGGGTTTTTTTGTTGCTTTGTTCCTTTTTTTTTTCTTCTTTTTTTTTTAAGCACTTGCTGTGGAGTGTTTTGTTGTGGGTATGTTTTGTTTTGTTCTTTTTTTCTTTTTTGTCAGAAACGTTTCCTCAGATCTAGAAACTCAGCCCAGAATATTGCAATAATTAACCTGTTAGGAAACCATGATTCAAGGTTTCTGATTAACATGCTGCCCTCAGCTTCCCTCAAGCTTTCTTGTCAAAGCTGTTTTTTATAAATATTTAAAACATCCAAGCCTAGAGCGGCTGGTGCAGAAGAACTACCAGGGCTGAGAGAATGTTTGGCCTGAGGCTGCTATCCAAAACATTGGGTCAGTGTATGCTTTTGGCAAACAAACTGACCTCAACCTCTGTCTCTCTGGTAGACAGTCACATCATAGACATTTAAATAGCTGATTCAAATATTTATTTTGTAGATTAATCTGTGTACATCTCTGTACATCACACAAAAGAGATTTCTTTTGAGAGCGGTGCCTACTTTTCATTATCCTCTGGACAGATCTCTATTGTAAGAAGAGAGATGGAAAGGCTAACTGCACTCCCATTTTTGCTTTTAGTCTCCCTGGAAAAATCTTGTTCTGTTGTGATTAGGAAAAACGTTATTGCTTTCCCAAATTTCTTCCTTAGCTGGACACTATTTTCTACTCATCTCTGTTGACTAATCATTTTTTCTTTTGGTTTGGTTGTGGATTTTTTTTAATGAGGTGTGGTTTTTTGTTTGCTTGGTTTTTTGTTTGGTTGTGGGTTTTTTGTTTTGTTTTGCGGGGGTTTTTTTGTTTGTTGGTTTGGTTTGGTTTGGTTTGGGGTTTTTTTGTGACAATATAATTGTGGTGAGTTGACCTTGATTGGAAGTCAGGTGCCCACCAAGCCACTCTATCCCTTCCCTCCTTAACTGGACAGGGTAGGATCAAGGAACTTTGTGGGTAAAGTCAGTTTAATGAAGCAAACCCAAGAGCCACGTGCAGAAGCAAAGGAAACTGAAAGATTTATTCTCTCCTTCCCATCAGCAGGTGATGTCCAGCCACTTCCTAGGAAGTGGGGCTTCAGTAGTGTAGAGTTTCTCTGGAAGACAAATGTCATAATAGTGAATGCTCCCCCTTCTCCTCCTTTTTCTTAGCTTTCATTGCTCAGCAGATGTCATGTGGAATGGAACATCCCTTTGGTCAATTCAGGTCAGCTGTCCCAGCTATGTCTCCTCCCAAGATCTGCACACCCCCATCCTACTGATGGGGAGTGGAATGTTGGAGAGACAACGCTGATGCTGTGCCAGCTCTGCCCAGCAGTAGCCAAAACACTGATGTGACACCAACACCTTTGTAGCTACTGATGCACAGCACAGGCTGTGAGGGCTGCCATGGGGAGAGCTAACTCCATCCCAGTCAGACCCCATACAATAATTATTATCTCGGCAGGTGACCTACAACATACCAAAATGAAAGGGCTCTCTCAAGAACTGGCTTTAGCACACTGCTGCCCTGCAGTCATCAGAATGCCACACACCAAACCATCATAAATAAAATGCTGCACGGTCCATGTGGTCAGATGTGCATTTGCTTAGCTTCTGTTCTTGAGCTGAGCATTTTAATTTAATAGAATGTGATGGCCTTTTTACCTATGCTATCCATGATGTATGATAATGAGCAAAGGATATTTCTCTTAGTTTAACATAAAAAATAAAAATTCGGAGCTAAAAAGAACCTATTGTGAGAGTAAACCTAATTCCAAACAAGGGCCATGTGACTGCTGGTTTATATGGGACTTTATATCAAGCCATAAGGGATTGAAGGAAGAGGAGAAATATTAGCTCTTACGGTGTTACAATGCTTTTCACTGGGTCAAGTTTTCTTCCCTTTGCAACCTTGTAGATTCCATTCCAGATTGTTTGAATGTGTTTGTTAAATGTAACTTCAACTGGGCTATAGACATTTCCAGATTTGGGAAATTTTGCAGTCACTGCCACTGGGCATGAGAATGGATCCTACTCTTTTCATTATGTGGAAAAAAAAGCCTGCAGACCTCTCTGCTCACTTTTTACATATTTTTATTTGCACCTTGCCTACTGCATGTTCAAATTATTAACTGTTGAATATCTTAATTCAAAATATACCACAGTTATATTTTTGTTTGTAAGCTTCTCTGATTCAATGCAACTGGCTAAATCTAGGCTAGGACAATTAATGTATCTCATCTTCCAAGGCTGACAAAGCTTCACTGAGGGGCAGGACATGGGAACATTAAAGGGGTGTTGGTTAGTTCCTTTTTATTTCATAAACTTCTGTGAAACTGTTAATGTTGCTCTGTCCTGTTTTTTTCTTTTGTTTTGTTCTGTTTTCATTTCTGCAGATCTGAGTTTGGATCCTTCTATTTTTCATGTACATTTCTGTGTTTTTCTTGATCTGAGAAGTCTCTAGGCTTAATGTCTTAAAATACATCTCATGGGCAGCTGTCTTCTGTTTAGTATCTTTTCTAGGAAACCGAATCTCATTATTCAGTTTACTGTAAGACTGCAAATAGCCAAGACTTTCTTATTCAAGCTTTATCTATTGTGAGTAAACCTAAAAGAGCTTTTTTCTCTGACAGCTGCAGATAGATTATTTTTCCAGAATACTTTCCAGAATATTACATTTGAGCAGAAGCTTGTAAGGGGTGGGAACTCTAAATCATTTCTATTGCACTCTTTTCCTGAGGTTTAGATGTAAAACCCCACAAAGTAGTAGTTTCTTGTGTCTGAGGCACTTACTAACTCCACAGTTTATTCACTTTCATAGGTTTGACATAAATTGTACAAATCTGTGAAGCAGCCTAGCTCCCAAAAATAAATTTTGTTCTCATTAGTGTCATGATATGAAGTAGATGGACTAGTGTCATGGTCTATTTGGTTTATGTGGCAAGGTTTTGGTACCAGAGAGAGATGGGATGAGGGGAGGCTTCTTTCCAGAGAAACAAGAACCTTCCACCACATTATATAGAAACAACTCCAGCTGGTTCCAAGGTGGACCCACTGCTGGCCAAAGCTGAGCCCATCAGCAACAACTGTAGAACCACTTTGATAACATATTTAAGAAAGGGTAAAAACCACTGTCCAGCAGCTGTGAGACAGAAGAGTGAGAAAATGAGAAAGAAACAACTATCCAAGCACCAATCTCAGTGAAGTAGGAAGAGAGGAGTTGCTCCAGGTGTCAGAGCAGATTTCCCTTCAGCCTGTGGTAAAGACACAGGTTATCCCACTGCAGCCTTGGAGAGCCCCATGCCAGAGCAGGTGGCTGTGCCCTGGAGGAAGGTTGTTTTAGTTTTAGTTCTCATTCTACTCTGTTTAATTGGTAATAAGTTCTATTAATTCCACCCAGCAGAGTCTGTTTTGGCCATGGCAGTAATTGGTCAGTGATCTCCCTGTCCTTACTTTGACTCTTGAGCTTTTTGTTGTGTTTTTCTCTCTGTCCTGTTGAAGAAGGGGAGTGGTACAGTGGCTTAGTCCACCCACACCATATGGTTTAGACAAGATTTGAACACAGTAGTGTAGTGACTGGATTTATAGTAGTGCTAATCCCTTGGGAAAGTCAGAAATGTGCTGAAATCTGGAGTTATGACTACCAAGTTATGTTTATTAGACATCTCTTGAAGACAAAGCAGAAGACACTCACCTTGACATGTCATCCCTCGGTCACACTTTCCATTTTCCCTCTTTCTTCCTTACAAAACATAGATGCATCAGAGAGTTAATTCTCTTTTTAGGCCCACAGACTGACTGCGGAAGTGCTCATCCTGTTTACATCATCGACTTGCTTTTCCCTTATTGAAAAGGCAAGTGACTGCCTAAAGAAAGTCCATATCAATCAGATCTTTTTGTCTCTTCCTGAGCTAATTTTCAGCATTTGGGCTGCTGAGGTGCCACTGCTTAATAATAGATCCTGAAGGCTCCTCATTCTGCACTTCTGACTTCTCAGTGCAGAGACTAATTAAATGTCAGCAGCTCTGGACTGTACATACACATTTTCCTAGTTCTGCCCAAATGACTTCTGAACATCACTGACAGTTTCCTCATCTCCTGGCTTAGCAGAGTAGTTATAATAATTAATCCTATTTAAGCCTTGGTAATTTTTTTTTTTTTAAAGTCTTCCTGTCTCTTCCCAGTCCTCTACTCGGCAAAGGGGGATCTTCCCTTTCTCCATTCCTCCTTTCCTCTCTCTCTAATACTTTCTGTCAATCTATACTACACTCTTCCTTTCAAGCACAGTTAAGACAACAAAGATATTTATTATTGAAATAATATTTTTCGTTGTCAGATAAATACAAAGGAAGACACTTTAGTGGTCAAAAAAACTAGTAGAGAATAATCTACAGAATAATAAAATGTGCTAGGACTTTCTCAAGTTGTCTTCAGCCCATAATCTATTCTCACGGGGAATATACATCACAGTAGGTGTGTTCAAAATAGGATCATATCT